TGTTGCAGCAGCTGTCTCCTGTCTGTCTTGCTGCAGCACTTCAGTCGGCGTGGAACAGCGCTCTCTGCAACATCCCGTTACCCAGAAGCTTTCCTTTTCCCCCAAAATTGCATTTATTTTTTTGGGAATCGGTATCAGTACGTGACGAAAATTGCAGTTTTTTTTATTTTTTTTATCAGTGTCAATACGTGTATATATCTCTCTCCTTTCTTTAAACAGATTTTATTTTATTTTTTTTTCTTGTGTAATCAATAAAATGAATAAATGTGAAAGTGATGTTGAGAAAAGATATGAGAAAGAAGTCGAAGAAGTGTATTTTTTTTTTTTTTTTTGCCTCTTCAGTTCGCAGAGAAACCGAAAGATGCGGCTACAAAAGTCGAAGTGTATTTTTTTTTTTTTTGCCTCTTCCAGTTCGCAGAGAAACCGAAAGATGCGGCTGCTGGTGGTGGTGGTGCTGACAAAAGTCGAAGAAGTGTATTTTTTTTTTTTTTGCCTCTTCCAGTTCGCAGAGAAACCGAAAGATGCGGCTGCTGGTGGTGGTGGTGCTGACAAAAGTCGAAGTGTATTTTTTTTTTTTTTTTGCCTCTTCCAGTTCGCAGAGAAACCGAAAGATGCGGCTGCTTGGTGGTGGGGCTGACAAAAGTCGAAGAAGTGTATTTTTTTTTTTTTTTGCCTCTTCCAGTTCGCAGAGAAACCGAAAGATGCGGCTGCTGGTGGTGTGGTGCTGACAAAAGTCGAAGTGTATTTTTTTTTTTTTTTTGCCTCTTCCAGTTCGCAGAGAAACCGAAAGATGCGGCTGTGGTGGTGTGGGGCTGACAAAAGTCGAAGTGTATTTTTTTTTTTTTTTTGCCTCTTCCAGTTCGCAGAGAAACCGAAAGATGCGGCTGCTGGTGGTGGTGTGCTGACAAAAGTCGAAGAAGTGTATTTTTTTTTTTTTTTTGCCTCTTCCAGTTCGCAGAGAAACCGAAAGATGCGGCTGCTGGTGGTGTGGTGCTGACAAAAGTCGAAGTGTATTTTTTTTTTTTTTTTGCCTCTTCCAGTTCGCAGAGAAACCGAAAGATGCGGCTGCTGGTGGTGGTGGTGCTGACAAAAGTCGAAGTGTATTTTTTTTTTTTTTTTGCCTCTTCCAGTTCGCAGAGAAACCGAAAGATGCGGCTGCTGGTGGTGGTGGTGCTGACAAAAGTCGAAGTGTATTTTTTTTTTTTTTTTGCCTCTTCCAGTTCGCAGAAACCGAAAGATGCGGCTGCTGGTGGTGTGGTGCTGACAAAAGTCGAAGAAGTGTATTTTTTTTTTTTTCCTCTTCCAGTTCGCAGAGAAACCGAAAGATGCGGCTGCTGGTGGTGGTGGTGCTGACAAAAGTCGAAGTGTATTTTTTTTTTTTTTCCTCTCCAGTTCGCAGAGAAACCGAAAGATGCGGCTGCTGGTGGTGGTGCTGACAAAAGTCGAAGAAGTGTATTTTTTTTTTTTGCCTCTTCCAGTTCGCAGAGAAACCGAAAGATGCGGCTGCTGGTGGTGGTGGGGCTGACAACCATGCTAGCGGGGATGCTAAACCCAGGTAAGAATATATAATGCACTAAACATGACACACTAAACATGACACACTAAACATGACACACTAAACATGACACACTAAACATGATACACTAAACATGACACACTAAACATGATACACTAGATATGATAAGCTGCACATGATACAGCATAAAATGATACAATACAGTACAATATATATATTATGAGAATGAATAATACACTAGATATGAGACACTAAACATGATACAACATAAGATTATACAATACACTACAATAGATATATTATGGTATGATGTAATACAATAGGTATAGTATAATACATTAGAATACACTAGATATGATATACTACACTAGATATAGTATAATACAGTAGAATACACTAGATATGATATAATTCAATAAAATACACTGAATACATAATACAACATGACACGCTAAATGTAATGTAACAGTATAATACACTGAATATGATATTATACAATACAATACACTAAATACAGTATGATACAATATGACAGACTGAATATGAGGAAATACAATACGATACACTGAATATGAAATAATATAATACACTAAATATAGTATGATACAATATGATAGACTGGATATGAGGAAATACAATACGATACACTGAATATGAAATAATATAATACACTAAATATAGTATGATACAATATGATACACTGAATATGACAGAATACAATATAATACACAGAGTATAAGCGCTTATCTTTTCATTCTCATCACATAAAAAAAACTATATAGTTTTGCACCAAAGTTCTTCCATAATCGTACGAATATATGACATTTTAGCAAAAGCAAAATATGAGGATTTAATGTGATTCTGTAAGGTTAATATTATGCTGTTCAGGTCACATGAGGGATAATGGCTCCACATATTTGATAAGCTCCACATATTTGCTAAACCACATATTTGTGATAAACTCAACATGTTTTGTACAAGTTTCCCAGAATTCTTACCGCAGTTCTAGAATGTTCCTTGTACAAATAGTTTAATGTCTTGTACAAGTTTCCCAGAATTCTTACCGCAGTTCTAGAATGTTCCTTGTACAAATAGTTTAATGTCTTGTACAAGTTTGAATTCTTACTTCTAGAATGTTCCTTGTACAAAAGTTTAATGTCTTGTACAAGTTTCCCAGAATTCTTACCGCAGTTCTAGAATGTTCCTTGTACAAAAAGTTTAATGTCTTGTACAAGTTTCCCAGAATTCTTACCGCATTCTAGAATGTTCCTTGTACAAATAGTTTAATGTCTTGTACAAGTTTCCCAGAATTCTTACCGCGGTTCTAGAATGTTCCTTGTACAATAGTTTAATGTCTTGTACAAGTTTCCCAGAATTCTTAAGTTCTAGAATGTTCCTTGTACAAAAGTTTAATGTCTTGTACAAGTTTCCCAGAATTCTTACCGCGGTTCTAGAATGTTCCTTGTACAAATAGTTTAATGTCTTGTACAAGTTTCCCAGAATTCTTACCGCAGTTCTAGAATGTTCCTTGTACAAAAAGTTTAATGTCTTGTACAAGTTTCCCAGAATTCTTACCGCGGTTCTAGAATGTTCCTTGTACAAATAGTTTAATGTCTTGTACAAGTTTCCCAGAATTCTTACCGCGTTCTAGAATGTTCCTTGTACAAATAGTTTAATGTCTTGTACAAGTTTCCAGAATTCTTACCGCAGTTCTAGAATGTTCCTTGTACAAAAAGTTTAATGTCTTGTACAAGTTTCCCAGAATTCTTACCGCAGTTCTAGAATGTTCCTTGTACAAATAGTTTAATGTTTTGTACAAGTTTCCCAGAATTCTTACCGCAGTTCTAGAATGTTCCTTGTACAAATAGTTTAATGTTTTGTACAAGTTTCCCAGAATTCTTACCGCGGTTCTAGAATGTTCCTTGTACAAATAGTTTAATGTTTGTACAAGTTTCCCAGAATTCTTATTCTAGAATGTTCCTTGTACAAATAGTTTAATGTTTTGTACAAGTTCCCAGAATTCTTTCTAGAATGTTCCTTGTACAAATAGTTTAATGTTTGTACAAGTTTCCCAGAATTCTTACCGCGTTCTAGAATGTTCCTTGTACAAATAGTTTAATGTTTTGTACAAGTTTCCCAGAATTCTTACCGCGGTTCTAGAATGTTCCTTGTACAAATAGTTTAATGTTTTGTACAAGTTTCCCAGAATTCTTACCGCGTTCTAGAATGTTCCATTACAAATAGTTTAATGTTTGGTACAAGTTTCCCAGAATTCTTACCGCTAGAATGTTCCATGTACAAATAGTTTAATGTAAGTTTCCCAGAATTCTTACCGCGGTTCTAGAATGTTCCTGTACAAATAGTTTAATGTCTTGTACAAGTTTCCCAGAATTCTTACCGCAGTTCTAGAATGTTCCTGTACAAATAGTTTAATGTCTTGTACAAGTTTCCCAGAATTCTTACCGCGGTTCTAGAATGTTCCATGTACAAATAGTTTAATGTCTTGTACAAGTTTCCAGAATTCTTACCGCGTTCTAGAATGTTCCTTGTACAAATAGTTTAATGTTTTGTACAAGTTTCCAGAATTCTTACCGTTCTAGAATGTTCCTTGTACAAAGTTTAATGTTTTGTACAAGTTTCCCAGAATTCTTACCGCAGTTCTAGAATGTTCCTTGTACAAATAGTTTAATGTCTTGTACAAGTTTCCCAGAATTCTTACCGCAGTTCTAGAATGTTCCTTGTACAAATAGTTTAATGTCTTGTACAAGTTTCCCAGAATTCTTACCGCAGTTCTAGAATGTTCCTTGTACAAATAGTTTAATGTTTTGTACAAGTTTCCCAGAATTCTTACTGCAGTTCTAGAATGTTCCTTGTACAAATAGTTTAATGTCTTGTACAAGTTTCCCAGAATTCTTACCTCAGTTCTAGAATGTTCCTTGTACAAATAGTTTAATGTCTTGTACAAGTTTCCCAGCATTCTTACCGCAGTTCTAGAATGTTCAGTAATATAAACCACAATTATGCCAAACTAATTTACATATGTTGTGATAAAATCTCTATCATTATTCATATTTTGCAACTTGTTTATTGTTCTTTTTTCAGGATTTGAAATTTACGAACAATGGATACAAAAGATGCTTTGTTTTGGCTTTCACTTACACACACATTCTTGAATATATATATATATATATATATATATATATATATATATATATATAATATATATATATATATATATATATATGTGTGTGTGTGTCGTGTGTGTGTGGTTGGGTGTGTGTG